GAGCACGCTGAAGTAATGTCTGTTCGGCTCGCTTTCTTTTCGCAGGACAATTTCCGAAGTACTCTGTGTGTTGGATAGTGAAGGAATCCCAGGTTGTTAGCGACTCTTCGTGGTTCTCGAATCACACAAGAGCAGTGTCTACCAGGAAGAGAGCAACATTCACTAGCCTGCCGTAGCATCCCAGCCGTTGCCCTTGCTCACACGTTTGTACTGTGTGAGACATTCTTCCACGTCCTCGCCGGCTTTTCCCGAGAAAGGGCGCGGCTCCAACTGACGCATCCATACACCAGGTGTCCGCGCCGGAGGAGCTGAAAATGACTGTAGGTCACCATGTTTCGACATCGCGTGTTCCGGTAGTGTTGGAGGCAGTCGTGCGAGGCGTCGGCTTCGGCGAGCACATAGAGGCAGTGGCTCCGTTGTCTTGAGCGATTACCCAGCATTTTCACCACAAAACTGTTACGGTTAAAGTCAAAGGATGTTTATTAACATGGCGAGGTTGATGGTCGGGTAATAATGGCGTCGGTATCTTGTCTTGTCTCGTCGCCTAGAAGTTCTTGGCTCATACCCACAAAGGGTATTGGCCACACTGTATCTTATAGTAGTTATTTTTTGTACAACGCTAGCTAAAAAAGAGAGAACTGAGATAAGAACAACAATAATGTTGCTTTGAAAAAACGGGGAAAAGTTCAGAATAATTTGATAAACCAGAGTATATTAAACAATTAAACAATAATGAAGAAGGGGAACGAAGAATTGGATATATCTGGCAGTACCACTAGCAGCGTATCCTTCTGGTTGCCTGAATGAACTTATGTAGCGCTGACAGGATAGCACTGCGGCCCGCACGCAACTGACTGGCTCCAAACGATAATAGGGTGGATGTATTAGCTGGCAATTCGAGCATAACAATCGGTCTTTCAAGAATTATAATGATGATGATGATGATGAACCTTCAGCTTTGTTGGCACTTGCCCACAAAGGGGGATCGGCCAAGAACCGGGTGGCAGGATCATCAAGAGTGCTAAGTCAGGCATTCAGGTAGTCTCGTAGCCGTAAATAATAACAATAGGCTAACAGGGTAATCTCTTTGTTGCCCTTAGAAACTCGCACACAGCAGGGAAAACCTCCCTGTGGCTATAACCTAATGTAATCCCTCCGAAGGATAAAATTAGTTCCACGTTTATTTTTAAACCTAGCTTCTCAAGTGGTTCAACCAGGTGTCTTTTCCTTTGATAAGCATAACGTTGACAGGATAAAAAGAAATGATCTATCGATTCCGATTCCTTGCAAAAGAGACACAACGGAGATGCTGTTAGTCCAGCTTTATGTAGGTAGTAATTCAGATGCGGAATTCTGAATCTTATTCTGGTGATTGTAATTTCTATCTGCCGAGATACACACCACTGTTTGTTCCAGCAATATCTTAGATGTACGAAGTCTCTGACTTTATCCAATGATAATTTTTCTATTTCCTTGTGCAAACAAGCTTTTCTATATCTGAGTGCTGTTACGTAGTTGAAATCAGGTAAAATAGGTAAGAGTGGTTCGCTTAAAGATGCTTTGGCTAACGAGTCTGCCATCTCATTTGGATAAATCCCGCAGGGGCCAGGTATTTATAGCAAGTGAAATTTTTTCAGGTTTTCTGGTAATAAACTGCTAATCATACGCAATAATGTCAAATTTTTTGCTGCAGATAGTGCAGTGCATACTGAAAGAGAATCGGTAAGTATGACCGCTTCTGATTCGCTTGCAGGAAGTTTACGAAGCGCTAGAATTATAGCAAATAATTCAGCGATGAATATAGGCGTGTAATCTGGTAATCGAACTGAGAAAGACCAGTTGAGAGAAGTACAGAAGATGCCTATTCCAGCCTTTTCGTTCAATACGGATGCATCCGTCGCAATAATGTTGTTTATGGACAGATTAGTCAAGTATTCTTTTAACCGAATATTTAAATATTGAAGGCGCAGTTGTTTCGCATTAGTGGGGAAAATATCATCAAATTTTATTTCAAGTTTTGAATTAGGTGTCTTCGTTATGCAAATCTGATAAATATTTACATTGAGAGGCTCTAGCAACGCTTGGACGAACCTAATCTGAGGGGAGTGTAGTCTAGACCATTGTGTTCCAAAGAATGCGATTGGTTCTTGAATAAAGACGTATGAAGCTTTTCGCAGAGGTGAATTGTATATTTTTAAAAAAGTTTAAACTGTAAGTATTCTAAACCGAGTTAACAAAGGTGGAAGGCGCAATTCCACATACAAAACATTGTTTGCCACAAATTTGGGGAGTCCAAGACACAAGCGCAAAGCTTCTCTTTCTAATAATATTAATTGTCTCATCTTGTAAGCCGTGCTGCCTGAAAATAATACACATCCGAATTCCATAATAGGCCGCACATACATCTTGTAAATCATTATCAATGTACTCCTACGCAATCCTATGTTTCCCAATTTGCGTAACCACCCCATGGCACGTGACGCTTTACAGCCAACCTCGTCTATATGGCTTTTCCAATGCAGCGTCCTATTATATACGATGCCTAGGTATTCCAAGAAATCGACCTGTGGAATGAGCTCGGTATGATACATCAGGGAAATGTTGACACGATCATTAAAGGAGAATGGCAGAAGCGCACTTTTTTGACGTTCAATGACATATGAATATTGTCAAGCCATCCTTCTAGCATCTTCATGTAATTCTGTAATGCCTGATACAATGAGTGCAGATCACTGTTGTTTGCGAAGAAAGCAATATCATCTGCATATAGTAAATTTGGATATCCTGATGAGTTGGAATGGAACTTAGTAATATGTAACACCGGGGATAATACTGAGCTCTGAGGTACACCTCGTGTCTGCTTATATTTTTCAGAACAGCATCCATCCAAGAAGCAATAAAATTCTCTGTCTTTCACAAACTCTTTATTCCACGCTGTTATATATTTTGGAAAGTGATAGTCTTGCATCTGCTGGATTAAGATAGGATATTTCACTTTGTCGCACGCTTTATCTAAGTCTAGAGTGACTAGTGCACAGTATTCGCGGCGATGCCGAGCCAGCTGTATGCGACTTTCCAAATCCACATGTGCACATCAAATGGAGAATCCCGATCTAAAGCCAATTTGTCTGGGGTTTAGTATTGTATGTTCATTGATGTAGTTTATTATACGGGCATTTAAGACTCTCTCTACAAGCTTGACTAGGTTAGATGTCAATGAAATAGGCCTTATGTTATCCAGAGTAAACTCCATTCCCTGTTTCTTAAGTATCGGAATTATTTTGGAAAGCTTCCAATCGGCCGGAATCCAAGAATTTTTCAGTGAATAATTAACTATATTACGGATTTCATGTGGCGATATTTCGTATAGCACTTTAATCATTTTAGAGGTCACCCCATCAGGTCCGGGAGCAGCGGGCGGTAAGCTCTTCATCACATCCGCCAGTTCAGCTAAGGATACCTCCTGGAAATCGCAATCCACCTTCCAAGAATTATTCGACGCAGTGATGCACCAGTTCATGTCTTCCTCTTCTTCTCCTCTCTCAGCTCGTACCCATTGCAATATGTTTGCTTCATTGAAACGCTGACAAGGCCAGCTCTGCCGCCCGTCCACGTGAAGTGCAGTATTCTTGATGAACGAGTTCAATGAATCTCGACACCCTTTAATAGTTTTTTCTTCAAAATTTTGCTATCTTTGTTGCTTCATCTGGCAGTGCCTGCTCGTAAAATAACTTTCTAATATGGTATATATATCGAAAGCTTTGTATCGATCAGAGCATCACCACCCGCACTCTCTCGGGACTTCCACTCACAAGAGATTCAAAAAGAGAGCTCCCATAAACCTGAATGAGCTTGCTCACTACAAGGCGCGAGGTCTCATTTTCATCAACCATTCAGTATTCCCCCGTTTACCTGCCGTTGTTAACATCAAACATCATCCGACCTGTCATAACGAAATCACGCAGCACTTTTATCTCACCAGGTGAGACTTTCTATTTTCTTACAATAACTTGAATAGAGCGCAGTCTTCGATTCTCAGGCTACATCAGATGAGCTCGTACCCCACAGCGGCTTCATTGCACAAAATTTATCAGGCATTTATACTAAAAGCTCACAAAGGCATTGCGACGAATTCGCTAGCCTACACCACATGCTCCGTTTGAGCTCGTTCAAGAAGGAAGGAAAACTAAGGAGAAGCCCTGACGTCTTAAACTAAGGAGAGGTCATAGCAATCACTGCAGTCTCCTAATTGAAGAGACCGAATAAGATGGGAGCCAGCTGCAGCGTCCAGATCGCGAGCTGCATCAGCTCATTCTAAAGAGATCGCCCTTTCAACTCTGGGATCAGATGAGTGAGAGCTGCGGCGCGGTGGCTGAAAAATCGCAACGATAAATGGTGAAGACGATGACGCTACAAGTTCTCTCTTTATAGCATGCTTGATGCATGCACCGAGAAACGAAGGTAATCTACTAGTTAAGAAGGCGATGCACACGAGGCCCCGTAACCTTATCGTGTTTGACTCTTGAAAGTAAGCTCAAGAACCTTCCAAGGTTTTGCCGGGGGATCTAAAAGCAATGACACAGTGTCTGCTTTGTGCTGTCAAACTGCCGCGAGGCAAGCATATAGCCTGTAGTTTTTAGGAGAACGTATTGGAAAGCCATCGAGCAGGTCGACGCGCAGAGAAGGCACTCAAACAAGGGTCGGTTGACGGCCTTATGAGCGCGTAAGGAGAGTGAGGTAGTGGTTTGCGCAAATAGAATAACAGTACAGGGCGCTATTTTCTGCATTCCTTAGTGGGGCGGTATGTGCCTTCGTTGAAGGGAACGAGTGAAAAGTTAGGCGTCGTAGTAAGATTTCGTTTAACACTTTCACATGGGGAGGTGATGAATCATACGAAAACATTCGAAAGCGTGATGGTTACTATACAAGGTGCATACCAAACAGACATCAAATTACACTTCATACGAGAGACTGAAAATGTTTTGTGCGTGGTAGCTCACCTAAGAGAAGCCCGAAAATCGGAAAGGCGTACACCGGAGACATCTTACTGAGGCTTGCGAGGAATTAATCACTGCAAGGAATGCGAAAGAAATTATGTATTAGACTTTATGAATCAAGGCTTACTAGCGGTAAGAGGGGGTTGCAAGGTAAAATTTATCATGCGTCATATTCTTGATTTGCTGAAATTCGACACATGCTCAAAAAGCCAATAGAGCACAAGAAAGGTTCAAAATGGCTTTGAGCACTTTTAAAGTATTACCAAATTCGTTCAGTGTGAGCGCTTTGCTGCTATATTAGTTTTAGTCTTCCTTATATATTTTAGCAACGAATACAAATCACAATACAATTGAAATAAATAAACAAAGTCTATAGATGTGAACACATTTACTTTAAGCAAATCAGACTCGTTATTATGATGGTATTTAGTATTAATGAAACCTGATTATACAACTTTAACAAATTATTCAAAAATCTTTGTCCTATTCCAGCCAATTCATTAAGGAGCATGTGGGTATCATTATAGTAATATTGTCAAAAACATCTGTTCCACTCCACCAGATTGATTGATATGTGGGGTTTAACGTCCCAAAACTACCATATGATTATGAGAGACACCTTCACTCCATCAGCGTACGCGGCAAAAAGATAAATTTCAGAAGATATCTTTGTTGCAAGCGCGAGCTTAAAATACGTGATGACGATCAATACGGGCGGGTATGCACTGTACGCAAAGGAGTAAGTGCCAATGCTTTATAGAATAGTGACGCATATTGTGAACTTCCGTTTAACGGACACCTTTTTTATGAGATGAGAAAGAAAAAAAGTGCAAGAAAATTATTTTTCTTACTGTATCCCTCACGTTATCTGATATTTAAACCATATAAAATGCAAGATTTATAATGGATAGTTTAATCGGTCACGCACGCTTTGACGTCGCCGCTAGACGACTTGATAAAAAAAATAGAGCAAAGTTTCAGCAACAATGCAGCATTTATTGAGCTAAACTGGTGCTCCGTGCCCAGACAATGATAATTACGGCTGTTTTGTTTTATGTTATAATGACATTTGTTGCGAAAGCCCTGTTATCAGAAAACTGAAGATTTAGGGGTAACTGTCTTGGTTTTAAAAGAAGATAAACACGGGAGAGGGAGACAGAATATTAGGCAGGCATGCAATAATAAGAAGAAGGCAGCAGGAAAGACAGTACGAAATTCATTGCTTGAAAATAGGAGAGAAATTTCCCCTGCAGTGGTTGCAGGCAGGCGGATGACGATGATGATGACGTGTTGTGAGAGTGAGAAAAAAATATACTAATGCTGAAGATGTCATATTAAGATAAAATATTACGATAAAATAGCGCTGCAATGAATAAAAAATAGTGCTACCTACGACAACGGCAGTATTTTCAGTACCATCCAGCCAATACGATGAGGCTTCCCGAACCATCTATGGGGTCTTATTTATGAATATACACTTGTCTGTTCAACCAAGCCAGTCAGAATTGTTGTCTGTTCGGTCTAGTATTTGTTCTATGGAGCATAACATCATGTCAAGTGGCTATGAGATCTTTTACTGTCATGCACTCCAGATGTCACATATGATTCGCACAGTATTACATGTACCTGTCGAAACATGCGCACGCGCTGCCAAAGAAATATACTCCATTATTGATACAGGAGGCATGCTACATCATTTGGCGGATGTTCGTTTGGTGACAATGGGGGCATACTTCAGGCTACATTTTTAGTTTTTAATCTTCACAGAAAAACTGTGCCCTTCAGAGAAAAACTCCAGCACACTTAAGATCCACTTCAAAATTATTCCGACACACTGTAACAGCAAGTAATAAAATCCCATGTCTCTCTATTACATACAGTCGGGCATAATATTGTTCTGCTGAATTGCCAGTTAAGGTCAGTTGAAGTTCTTATAGCGACCACAGAGGAAGATATATTTGAGATTTTACACATTTATTTTAAATGCAATAGGCAACAATGTGGGCAAATTTTTATTAGAGGTTTATGAGCTTTCTCAAATGTTATGACACTACTTTAGTAAATACGCTGGTCCCTCGAGATAACAATACGAACGCTGGTGAGGTGTAAGAATGAAGACTACGCAAGGTTCCTGCCAAACGAACACAGAAGTCATCGTGGCCGTACATCTTATTGAAGTAGCGACCCTTTATGGAATGTGTAACGTCATGTTTCCTGCAACACTCCTTAAGTGTATTGTGGAATACCTGCATTTTTTCAGGATTTGTGAGAACGTCGGTATATATGGTTGCAGTGTAATAGAAAGCCCTGCGGACGCAAGAGATCTCTTGAAATCCTGGATGGGTACAACAACCTCAAGTGAGTGCCTTGTTATTATGTGAGTGAAGAGTAACTGGTGTCTAGTAAGGGGTGTGCTGAAACACCGAGTGAAATTGCAGACCCTGTGTTCGTTGTCTGCGGCCATTTCTATCATGCCAGTAAATGTAGGCCTTTCCCACCTTGTCTCCGTCATAAAATATGTGTTGTTATTCGCAGTATGATCGTAGAGCTCAGCCCCTTCTTTGACATTGTTGCAGATGCTGAGGAGAGTTGGCAATGGCACTACAGTTGTTTTCAGTGTATGGCGACCCGCTTACAGAACATATAAGCGAATGTGGGGTCTCTAAGCAGCATAGACATCTATGTTTTTGCATTTCGTCTTTATGACACTGAACTCTCTCCAGTATCAAAACAGAAACCGTCCTCCCTACGTTTCTTTAGTTTCGTATTGTTTATCGTTGGCATGCGTGACCCTTCGCATCGTCATCATTCTCCTCCTCCTAAGTGTCTATACTAGGGTCAGATGCGACAACGAAACCTCAATGGGCTCTCTCATATTCACTACGGTATCTGACCAATCCTCGTGGGTATCAGATAACCAAAAATAAACGGCCTTAATTTAAGAAAAATTGGTCGTGCAAGCTTAGAGGCGCCGCACATTAGGTACGCGTGCGCTCTTGCGTTCTATTGCACTATGAAAAGTACACCCAGATTTGATTACACATCAGAGCGAAACTATGCACTTCATACAATTCTCGTGTTGTGCAGGGATGATTCTGTTCTTGCTGGAGCACAAGCAATCCACTCTTTTCAACGCTTAAACTGTGAAGCCTCAAACAAATTTAGAAAGAGAAGTACCGACCACGTGCCTTTTAACGGGCACTCGTTTTAATAAATTTGATTGACTCATAGAGTAAAAGAAATAGGGAGAGAGTCAATATGCCTACTTAGCATTATTTGACGGCAAACCTTTGCATCTATAATTTTAATGAGCAATATCAGAATATTGTTTGTTGTATTTTTATTCAGAATAAGGAAGTGTATTTTGTAAAGTATCCTGGTCCCTATAGGTGGATTTTTTTACTGCTGTAGCCGCGGGCTGGACAGCATTTTGCAAATAAAAGCTGTAGAACGGTTTGCTGAAGGTGCATATACGGAGATTCTGATTAGGTTGTTTATGCTTAAATGTTGCGAATCTTCGAAACGTTGTGAAAACGAGTAAAAAATCACGCATTTTAAACACCGAACATTTTTCAATAATCCGCCAAGTTAAAAAGTATGATCGAAGTAACAAGACGTTCGACCATCCAGCGAAACCTGCGTTGCTCTTGAAAAACTACAGAGTCAGCGAAACAACGCGGACGCTAATCCCATTCTTTTAGGATAACAATCATGATAATGAAGGTCATCAAGACTCCTTGATGTTTAGTTATTAGTTTAAAAAACGCTGTTTTCTAAGTAGCAGCTTAAGCACTGTACTTACTGGTAGATGTAACCCTCTAGTTAGAATTATTTAGAAGGCTCTACTCTCTGCGGCATATGAGGCCACCTCATAAAAATAGCAGTATTTTTTTATGTAAAATAGGTCGTGATTGTTTTCATAAAGCCGGTGCACATGTTTCAATAATGAAATTTTCAGGCGTCTGCATTATCGCTGGAAAAGTGCTGATTGAGTTTAAGCCATATCACTGAAGTCTTTTTTGTTGAGGGATGTTTCTTGATTGACTTGCTTGGTGTGTTTAGGTATGCTAAGTGCCATTCAGTGCCGTAGACGACTTTCTTTTTTCAAGGAAATTTTCAATCCCAGGGATCTACAGTATCGCTATTTGCGCGGAAAGCTAACGTGGTTGCTTGGGCGAGTTGCTACGACATGATTCACATAAAAAACAGCGCCAATAACGAGGGACAACAAAACAAGAAGACAGACAGCGGCAATGTGCCGCTGTCTGTCTCCTTCTTTTCTTGTCCCTCGTTATTGGGGCTGTTTTTATGTGAATCATTGCGAGAAGAGCTGTAATTATAAGAATGAGTAAGACGAATACGGAAAACTTTGTTGTAAATACACCCTGTGCCGAATCAAACCATGCATTCTATTTTTATATAAAAGTACCATGTAGAAAGCCTCATGTTGCAAATGCTTTCTATTCTAAAACACATAAAATAGCTGATGAACTGTTTCACTGTATATCTTTCCTAAAGGCGCTCTGGCTAGAACATCAATGAGTTGCATGAGTTTTACCTCAATTTTCCCGGTCGCTGGACAGCAGCTGCTCAGGTATTGTGCTTAGGGCACCATTCAAGTGCGCTTTTATGGGTCACACTGTAGGGCCACTGCGTCACACAAAAACAAACTAAAATGCAAGTGTAAAGCAAAACATGTATTCATCTCGTTAGTCGCCTAGCACTAATGTAGAACTTCAATAGGTTTAATATAATTAAATTTGTTGACGAGAGCATAAGATAACGTCGATGAACTGACACTGTCTGATGGCAGGCAATTAAAGCAAATGTCACTCAGATATTTTTGACCTCTAGTTATTTTCAATATTCCAGATAAGAAGTGTAAATGTCCGATGAGATATTATTACTTATATTTTTCTAACCCTTCGTCTATAATGTAGAAGCTTGTCTTTTTGGCGAGGAAAATACTCCAATTTTTGGAAGAACTGCGATGTTCAGCGTTTGCTGTGTTGATAGTACAAATATATTATAAAACCAAAGGTACTTTATTGCTCAAAATAATTTGGTACTATCGAATTTTCAGTGATGCGCACATTGTGCTCGAAACATGATCTATAATCCAGTGGTATCAACAAATGAATTTGTTCTTAATGCATCAGCATCAGTCAAGCACATATTCCAAGAATCGTCATATACACGCAAGGCTAATTAATTGTTTATTCAAATGCTGATAGTTCCATGTACAAAGCTTTATAGTTCCCAGAAATGTTTGAATTGTGCACGTCCTTCTCGCGTAGTTGCATTCATGAGATAGTAAGTGCTGCTTCGGCCTCCGCCATCTTCTGCCGCCTACTCAAGTTGGATCCCGGCGAAAACCTTGAAAATGCAACACACATTAAGCCTCCCCACGAACACTTATAACACATATACAGATTCGCAAGTAGCACTTCAGGCTTTCGTACCAGGCCAGGCTATTCTGAAATTCTCACATTTTGTTTTATTGCACACATCCAAAGTTGTCTTACGCAGCAGCTACATCATTTAGCCTGCTATAGACCACTGCTTGCATAACTGCCTCGACTATGAACGCGCAGATGCAGTGCTCAGGAACTGCGGTGCTCAAGCAGCCACGTGTTGTGAGGCGGCCAACACAAACCTAGGTTCTCCGCTTCTCACATATCACGAGGTCCGGTAACATTACGTAGGCCAACGACCGTGATGAACAACGTTACTAGAGTGAACTCAGTTTCAAGGCTCAGTATCTGCGCAAGCGGAGGAAGATGGGCCGAACGGCGGTAGCGAAAACTAGCTTCGTTGCAGTCTGATCTTGTGCTTTACTCTCGGCGCATCGTCTGCTACGGCAGTGTACCGCGGCTGTTCGCTGCGCTGTTCCTCGCGCCGGCTTTCCTGTTGTACTGTTATAGAACTTAACCATTTATCATGCACTTCCAGTCGACATAGTCGAGTCGCATTTGTGAACTGAACAAGGTCTCATGTATAGATTTGTCCGAATGTGTTGCTCATTGCAAGTTGGCTAAAAATCAATGTTCTGCTTATATTTAGGCTGTCACCATGCGGTTGGACCTCCAAGTACGGAAAATTCTACGTGAATGAGCATTTTCAGGGTACCAGTTGTATGAAGAATGCAGCATTTTAACCACTGGCGTTTTGCTTAGACGAAAAACGGTGCAAAACGTCTGTAAAAGCCTCGAAAAAGTTGATCTAATAAAATACAAATACAGTAGGTACTCGTGTTTTCTACTCATTACAAAAAATATACTTTCTTAAAGAAACAGTACCCGTGCTTCGCACTGTACAACAGACAAATTTTCGCAATGGCTACCGATCGGAAAATTTGAAATCAACTTCACCTCCTCTCTCGCATTTTCCACCCTTTTAGAAAGCTCCTGATCGGTTTCTTTGCTAAAAATAGAAAAAAAACTAATATTCACAAACAATATAGAACATAAACCTCACGCTCTCATGATGAGTGATATAACTCAAAATACGCAGTGGCAGCCACTCTAACTTTTCATGCACAATCCAAACGAGGTCATCAATCAGGGGGGTTTTTGTGAAAAGCCTCTCGACAGTTTTCTCGCGTGCTTTTAATGTAGAAAGAAGACGGTGTACAGGATGATCTAAACATCCATCTGGAAAACACCTCATCTGAAAGAGTGCACTTTGGTTTGGGCGCGCATGTTTAAGGGTAGTAGAGGCCCTCTTTGCATGTTTTCACTTATTCAATTTTCACGACACTACCCACAGATGCAGCACACTCACGGTGGGCTACTGCGTGGGACACTGTGCTACACCTAGAAGTGACAGTGACATGTGCCACCGTTACTAGCCTCACGGTTCAGGAACGAGAACGCTGCGATTGAAAAAGATATCTATTGCTGCAATATGAAGGAATTGAAACAAACCCTGGCCACTGGCAAAAAAACCACCACTTACATACGTTTCCGTCAATTAATAGAAAAAAATATATGATAAAAATATCCACTGCTTATAAGGCAGCGAGATAGTTGGCAAATCATCCATTGTAAGTATCTACAGCGTCACTCATCGGTGCGTTTTGTCTTGCAGTTCTACGTCTGGCGGCTCCTCCAAACTGTGCACGGAGCATTCGAGGGGCGCCATGCGTTTAGAGGTCGGAAGGGGGGGGGGGAAGGGGGGTGATTGGCGTCTTCGTTATGAAGGAGGACAGGAGCAACAAGAGAGAAGGCAGGAATGTTAACCAGGCACATGCCTGGTTTGCTACGCTACGCTGGGAGAATGGGAAGAGGGATTACAAGATGAGAGACAGAGAGAGGGAAGAAAAGAGAAAGATACAAAAAAATTGGCCCGAATCTATATGTTACACTGCAAATGTCGTCGAAAGACGATAGTTTTGCGTCTGAAGAGAGTGAGCAAAACGTTTATTTGGTGTTCTGCGCAAAAAATCGCTGTGTGGTATTCTGAAGACACTGCGTCAAAGTGCCTCGAGCGTGTAGCGGAGGCGAACGAGCGCATCTCGGCATGTTAGACACAAGTGCCATCTGGCAGTTATCTTCGAAAACGAAGGCGCGCAGCCCACGGAGAAAGATGCGCGCCAGTCTCGGAGGTGATAAGGTGTAGAACGCAAAGAGACGGGCACGTGCCACCACCATGACGTCGTAGCAAAGCGTTGGAACACCTTTATGAGCATTGCGTTGCACTGTCAGCGCAACGCAATTAAACGCTACATTCCTTGGAGTTACTTGTGTGTGCCTCTTCTAGTGTAAAGGCAGACATAGAAAACATCGAAGCGTTGTTGTGGCGCCTCAGATATGTGCGATATTTGCTTTTTAGTTGACAATTGCACAACTATGAACGATAAACCTTGAGCAATATTGTAGGGCGCTGCGGATGGGGTTGGCCGTTTGATGTCGTTTGAGTTATCGTTAGGGCGGACAAACAGACGAAGGTACAGACAGACAAACAGACAGACAGACGGACGGACGGACGGACAGACGGACGGACGGACGGACGGACGGACGGACAGACGGACAGACAGACAGACAGACAGACAGACAGACAGACAGACAGACAGACAGACAGACAGACAGACAGACAGACAGACCAAATTTTTTCTGTCGAAGGTCCGCAGAAAGACTATCAGTTTTGAAAGGATTGTCAGTCAATGGGCTGACGCGTGTGCACCGGTGAGACAACACAAAAGTTAAAGGTCCTCACATAGGCCTGTAGTCCTCAAAAACCACAAGACGGCTTTGACTGCCTTTTGAGCCGACGAAGGACGCGTATGGTGCTCCAGTAAAATCGGCATCACCGTCCTTCTTTACGAACATTTAGGCGTCAATATGTGGGGCAGAATTGCTGGGAACAAGCACCGATAGGTACTGGGTGTGAGCTTCCACTTTCCAAGTGAGATCAAGACTTCTTGATCTGCAATACAAGACAGTGGTGCGTTACAATACCGTCATTCTCACATTGAACGTCACAGACTTTGAGTTAGGTAGTCAGCTTTCTATCTTTCCGACATAAAGCTTGTAACCACTTCCTGAACGGCGCCAGATTTCTTGGGAGGTCTGTCACAGTCAACAATATTTCGTTTATACCCCAATCAAGATTGAATTATGAGAAGCAATTGATTCATTTTAATACGCCTGATTTAAAAGTTCTTTTATAGTAACATGGTCTTAAATTGTTTCGATCATCTCGCCACTCTCCAAGGTTACTTTCATTCGAGGTATGAATTAACTTTCAGTGTGTGCTTTCATATTTCTCTCAAATTAAGTTGTAGGACAAGTGACTGTCTTTGACTTACACCTATGTTTATAAAGTTTACGCGTTGTACATATTTTAAACGTGATAGCTTTATAGAGCTTGTTTCAGAAAAATTGCGGTGCTGGCGTCGCTGTCAGCGTCTCATTTTGTGAGCGACAAAACAACATCTTGCACGCGACGAAAAAAAATTCAGAAACCTGCAAACAAAGAAAAATTCAGTACGAGTGGAAATTGAACCCAGGGTCTTCACGTAGCAGTCAGGTGTTATACCACAGAGGCACGCCTATAGTCAAAAACTGATTATTTGGAAGAGAAAGAACAACAATACGAAGTTCATGTAGTGGAAGTTTTCATTTTTATCATGTGCAGCCAAAAAAAAGCGAGGCCTTATGTTTACACTTCTATTGTTCATGTAGTAAAAGGAATTTCTTCAATCGACGCAATATTGAGAGGTAGACGCGTCGAATCACGTCAGGCGTCTAAAAATGAGAAATGCGCGACGACCTGTAGTTAGAAATGCCCAGCCAACAGGGCACTCCAACTTATGTTGTTTTACGCGTGCGTAAAGGCCTTTTTGCTGATTCGCAAAAGGAACAATAACGGCGCAGTGAGCACTTCGCTCCTGTACTTGCAGTAAACATTCTATGATAGTTTGAATTGGACAGTGTTGCACGCACAGTCGTTCGTTTCCTCACGGCACGGTTGAGACATACACCGAGGTTGAAGCTAGACAAGTAATTGGAAAGGTGATTCGCACAGGGCCTGGTTATTGGTGTCTACTATTCAAGGCTAAGCTCAAGCGCTTTTGTAATTGTTCTCTTTTAACTGTTGTGTTAATGTGTTCACAATATATATAATACACAACGGCAGCACCTCTGCTGTATCCGCTAATTGCTACCGAATGTATTATTATTATTATTATTATTAGAAATATAATGTTTTTGCCCGAAATACGAATTTTTCTAAGGTAACGTGCAAGGCTGGACGGAACTTGCTTACGATCTTTCGTCTGCCAGCCTGTCACCACAGGGCGAAAGAGATCGGAGGCTACATATGAGCTTCTAAAGCTGCTTATAGCAGCTTTTATGTTGGCCCACGGAACCGTGCAACGGTGTTTACAAGACAATAAATTAACGAATAAATAAGCAAACAAACGAAGAAGTTACGTGAAGCGTAGTCGCCATTGTGATCACCGCAGTTTGAGTCCTGGCGCAAAGCTAGTCCGCGTAACTCAATGTAGATAAATCTGCTCCTCCTCGCTACACTTCATACATGAAAAAACGCGTTTTCGTGCAAAAAACTACGCAGTGCCAAAAATAGTCCGCCAATTCAAGTGGGAATACAGCACACCATTCGCGGTAGCCATTTGCAAATTGCCGCCACCAATCAAGACACGCGCGCTGCGCGCCGCTAAAGCAAGATCGTACTGCTGCGCCACTAGTTCTCGTGACCGCCGCGCGGCCCGCCTAAATGGCGGAGCTTTCAAACTGAGTTTATTCTAGTAACGTTGAGGGATGAACGCATAAACTTGAGCAATATTGGTGGGTGCTGTGGATAGGGTTGGCCATTTGAAGTATGGTTCGGAGCCTTTTGGGTTGTCGTTACGACGGACAAACAGACAAATGTACAAATAGACCGAAAGAAAAAACAGACAGACAGACAGACAGACAGACAGAGGAAAATTTTTGCGTCGAAGCATCTCAAGAAAGACTATCGCCTTTAAAAACATGTGATAATTCATTCGAAACGGTCACACAAAGGGCATCTCAGCAGCAGCATGAAGAGGTAGGTTCGAGAGCCACCTGAACCAAGCTTACTGTATGCGTTAAATATGTTTATTTCGGCACATTGATTTTCTTACAATGGTGCGTGTCAGGTGATCTGCGGACTGACAGATCTCCTCGTTTTATACCTACATACTTGTTTGTGCTTTGACAGCTTCAGTTAGACTCCTACTACTTTTGTACAGCTATGTCCTTTTAATCCAAGGATCAACGTACACAAGGAAGAACTTTTGATGATTGATTTGTGGTGTTTAACGTTCCAAAACCACCATATAGTTATGAAAAACGCCGTAGTGAAGGGCTCCGGAAGTTTCGACCACCTGGGGTTCTTTAACGGGCACCCAAATCTGAGCACACGGGCCTACAACATTTCCGCCTCCATCGGAAATGCAGCCACCGCAGCCGGGATTTGATCCCGCGACCTGCGGGTCAGCAGCCGAGTACCTTAGCCACTAGACCACCGCGGCGGGGCAATACTTTTGATATATGTATGCTGCACACTTCAAACATTCTCGCATTATGACACATAGGTGATTAGATGTCCTTCAAAACAACTTTATGACAGAAATGACCGAGTGACGTTTGCTGTAATTACTTGCCACCGGGTCATGTGAGTCTGCCTTTGCTAAGATTTCTTTTATTACACTGTTTGCTGTCATGAAGCGCTCCTATTTTTCAATAAAGCTGTAGACTAACTCGCATAGTTATTTAGTAGTACGTATTTCATATTTTTTACTGAGTGAAGTGCCCGGTATCAAAGAAAAATTGATGTATGAACGTTGGCCTTCTTGAGCGTGCCTCTTATCATGTCCCGCAATGACGGCCATGACAAACGTAGTGAAACGATCTCAGGCCACATATACATGGTTGACATTCGCTCTGACAAGCAAGCTGCAATCATGTTATGCCATTACATCCTTGTTATCTTCTAATTTCTCATCGTTAATTTGCTAGTATGAAGTTCGCCGATTTTTTTCAGTGTGTTTTCATCGTAACTAGCAAAGTCGAACGCATGCTTTGCATTACTCCAGCATTTATTTTTTTGTCGCCTAGGGCATTGACCATGCGTCATACAATATAAAGCGGATGCCGACAGTGCTGGAACAATTCCACGTTGCGCCGACAGCTGCTGTTGTCCCCTCGGAAAGATCCAGGTATATTTCTCATACTGTGCCTAATTTGTTTTATTCTGTTGACCTAAACCACGACATAGTGTGCACAACGCAGCAGCCGTTATGCACCCCTATGTAGGCACAACTATCGCACCATGCGCTTTATGCTGGGCGCATTGACAATTGAAATATTCTCGTAGTTCCATTTCATTGCCAACACATATACTAGCGTATTAATCTGTACCTGTACCATTCATTTAGAGCTTCTCAATTGTCTAGCCCAAAAGTGCAGTGCGTATGTTTTTGAAGTTACGCAAAGTAAGATTACTCGTAAATGAGGTTTCTGTGCTGGCTAACTCCCGCAGTCGTGTTGCTATTTACATTACTTCTCACATCACGCAGCTTGGACTCAGTCATTGCCGAATTACGCACCGTAACAAGTGGTAAACATTTATATACCAAAAATAACAATTTCAAAAAAAAAATGTTTTATGGGTTTCAAGATACTTCAACTTTTGTAATATTTATATGCAACCAATTTCAGTATATTGTGAAAATGGCGGGAAATTCGTCTTTGCAGGGAGAAAACTTTTGATATGACACCCCTTTGAGGCACGACTTCTGATGCACTTTTTATAAATACGTTAAATCATATGGCATGATATTAGGACACGCAGTGCTATTATACAATAAAACAAATGACTGTGTTGTTTTGGCTGAGTTTCACTAATTGGTGTCACTAAGCGTGTAAATACATATCTAAATAGCTTGAATACCTGCTTTAGAAAACGGGCTTAGTAGGTCCCAAACCCATGCATGATTTGTTTCTTGTACACATTTTGTGTGAAGGAATAAAAGGGCATTTCACGTTCCTCCTAGAATGCGACTCGTGTAAACCCTCCTCGCACTTGGTAGCGTCTCCGTCAAAGTGATCATCTGCACCAATACACAGCACAGCGAAGACAAATAACTATTACTTGTGTATTTAGGAAGCCTGAATGGATGTGCACACTTTGTTGGTGCGTGAGATGCCCCAAAGCTTGATGTAAAATTGTGCACACTGCACTTTAAGCGGCTACACACAAAAACAGAATGTGGGCAGTGCTTGCTAAAGTTCGTGTGACAAGTGTAACCATGCAGCTATTATCTTTCCCTATGACACAGGCATACATAAAGCCGCTAAGCAATTATCTGAAAGCAATAAACCCCAATTTCAGTGAGTGTAGTTTTTTTTGTGCCGGAATATATTTGAGGCGTAAACTGGAGCAGGAAAAGTGAGCAGAGAGCTAGGTTCTATTTAACCAACATAAATATACAATTTATGATATCGCTGTATCGTAATAAATATATGATAACGCAGAGGAACCAGGAAACAAACCGGCGTTAAGAATATCATTGTTGTAATCAAGAAAAGGAAAAGGGCATGGGCCGGGCATGTAACGCGTATTCAGGATAATCATTGCTCATCATGGGTAACTGACTGGATTCCCAGTGAAGGAATGTGGGTTAAGGCGAGACGGAAAGTTGGTTGGGCAGATGAGATTAAGCAGTTTGCGGGTATAAAGTGGCAGCAGAAAGCACAGGACCGAGTTGACAGGCGGAACAGGCTTTGTACTACAGTGGACGTAGTCAGGCTGCTGCTGCTGCTGCTACTGATAATAATGATGATGATGATGATATTGATGATGATCATGATGATAATGAAATACACGATACACCCAACAGTATTTAAGCGAGTGCTTAAAACTGTAACGCCACACTCGCGAATGATGCTATTAAATACAATAAACAAATTTTAGAGTAGCAAAATTTACTTTCTCGCATGTCCGGTGTAGAGGAGGCCTTTCCTTTTTGTCACTGGCGCTTCTAGTCAACGAGTATAGTGAATCTTTGATAATAACTTTCACACTGTGAATTGTGTGTTAGAAGGAGTAAGCCTTGGTTTGTAATGTGATAACAATACAAGTCTTTTCTGCATTCTTGACCTGATGGTTCTAGACACACTTCGTGGATCACACTGCCACTTCTCATTCCATTATAAAAATGCATGTCGGCTACGGATTCCTCATGTTGGTCCTCCTTATAGGTAACGTATTATACACAACGAGTTTTTTACCTTCTACTGTTGAACGCGCAATATTCTTTGCCTACAATGCAACTTGTGAGCTGATTCCCACCAATAGTAAAACTTCCAAGCTGGCAAATACCGTAGCCTTACTTTTCAAGTTTGCGTTTCTGTGCCATTAAGATAAAAACGTGGTGAGGCTGAGATCGCAAGGTGGAGTTTTGATACGAGGAGGAATGTGTTTACTAATGCCTACCTGTACAAATAGGCCCGAACGCTTTTCTATGCTGAAAATAAATTCCGTTCTCCTAAATGTGGGAGCGAGAATACTATATATTTCCCCTACGCCAGTTCACACGTAAAGTTTATCTGAATATTTAGGATTTCCTTCCAAAGCACTTCACTGGCCCACTGATTGTGTATCGTGCGTTATATGACCAGTTTTTAGTTCTTTTTTCTTCTTACTGCACTTCCTATCCTTTTCTCTTTGGTGTTTGCTTATTATACAGGTAATAACTGGTGCCGCACCTGTTATTCAAAAGTACAACAGATAATTTTGACTATGGCCTGAAGATCACTCATGTAACACATCGGTTGAGTGTGGGACCATGTCGGGTAGTCGGTAAATATAGAGCGCATGAAGAAATAACAGAATAACTCTTGTGGTTTAATACGTCTTAGTATTTTCTTATACAGTGAGAGAACAAGAAGTAGAACATCTATTGTGCCAGCATTTACAAACTAAGCAAATCATCAGGTATTTTTATAGATTACCACTCGAAAAATTTGCCAAATTCTGCATTTACAAAGTTATGAAAGTCTTAGACATCATACAATAAGTCACTTATTAAAATACTTGTCAAGACGTTTGCCTCTTGCCGGACATTTCTAGTAGTATCTGCGACTCTTCATGCAACAAACTGGCAAACGTGAAGGTCATTCTTTCATATAAACGTTCATTTCAGTGACCATGTTCATGGCAGAAGGAGAGGCCTGCGATGCTGCTAAGTTAGCCATGAGTGCAGCATGTAGTGTGTTCGGGCGTGAAGAAAAACTTCCTCGTGTACGACTCCAGTGATAAATGGCTCACCATTGACCCGACTGCGGCGTCGTTTGGCACAATGTTTGTTGAATAAACAACGTTACGCTGCTCGCAATACTTGTGCACGTTTTTCTTTGGGGCTGTGTGTATGTTAAGCGCATCACCGAATCCTTATTTATTCTTCAGTCCTGACAGCGAAATTCAACGCAGCAACCAGTTCTCTTAGACCGCCATCGCATTCAGCACGATCTCTTTCCAAGCTTTAATTGTAGACGGAAATCGCTAGCCCTATTGTGGCATTCAGCATCGTAGAAGCACTACCACAGAAAGCCAGTAAGTTTTCTCACACTAGATTACACTGAGAATAGTGTGTATGTTAGGATTGTGGAGTAAAATATTAAGGTCGTCGATTTATAGTTGACACCACGGATGATGACGAAGCGCTTGCAAACTTGGAAGTTTCCTTGCATTACAGGAGGCAATACTGGAGCCATTGCCTCCGACTTAGTGCGCAGCAGCATGTGGCTGCATCTCTGCAAAAACAGTCAGTTTCGTCTTATAGGGCAAAGCAAGGAATGTGTTAGCGAGAAGTTGGAATGACACTTCCATAATGGAGTGGAGCCAAAAACTTCTTGAGAGGAGTGGCTCATACGGAAAGAAACACGTACGAAGAGAATGTACAACTATTCACACGGTGAGCGCCAAATGTTAAGCCGTTCTTCCGGTCATCCATAGCTTAGCTCTCGTTTTGGCAATTGCGATCGCTGCAATAAGCAAAGTGCCCTTCGTGTGCCATATAGCTTGAATGCCTACTCTAGAGTCAAGCCCTGGGCGCACAATACGAAGGGCTACTCACCCGCACAATACAAAGGGCCACTCATATAAAGAGCCACTCACCAGGCCCCATACCGAATTTTATTTAGACAGTGGAAGTTGTTGGGTGTCCGATGAGGAACGTTTTGCCACAAAAAGTTTTCGAATCGGTTCATTAGGAGCGGAGAAAACAGGTTTTTGAAAGCGGCGCGGAAGAAGGGTGAGAGGAGGCGAGCTCTAAAGCCCTGCCGCTACTCTGTGTAGCCCTCGGCAAGCCAAATCTCTTCCCCACCCTCTCTGGCATCCGACCAAGAGGTTGCGTGTGCATGACGTGCCCGAACAAGCGCAGCCCCCGTGCACGCGAGTGGCGTTGCTTTGTTGACCAGCGTTATTTTCTGGGCTTCTGCCTGTTTCTGCGGGATGGTATGGAAACGCTGGCTTAGGCGTGGTAGAGTAGATGAGCACAATGAGTGCGCGAACGCGTAGAAGCGTTCCATTCGCTTCCACGGCTGTCGTCCTGCTCGATGCGCTGACCACGAGGACACGAACGCTTGTGCAACGCTGGCTCATTAGCCCCGCATCTCGTAGCATTTCACGGGAAAAAAATGAAGGAATAACAAGCACAATTTTTCGTTGCGTCCCAATATTTATTTCAAGTTTTATCAATAACCTATAGCAACAAATACATAAACTACGCATGTTGTGTTAAATAATTTTTGCCATGTCACGTGGTATACGGTTGACAACTGTCAGAGCAGATTCGTCTACGTAGAGGACCAACGTCACTGCATTGCCGTCTACGTAGGACCATTCCTACGCCTACGTCATGCCCTCATTCTCTACGCGTGCGCCTGCAGAGGGAAGAGGGAGCAGCTTTCATCTTCAAATTTGACCCATTTCCGCGGCGCGTAGCATTGCAAAGTTTGGCAGACGTGATAATGAACGCCTCGTCTACGCATTGCGCTTGTCATCCCAAAATTGTGACACCTGGTGAGTGGCCCTTTAAGAGATATGCTTGTAAGCACCTGCGACTACGAGAGGATGCTTCCAGCAAACAGGCGGGTCCACTAAAGAGCGTAGTAACGTCTAAAACATGCAAGTCGTTACTGCTTCAAAGTTGACAGCTTCTACCAACAAGTTTTTATGAGGCAAATATCTTTGTTTTGTATTCTACTGCCTTAGTATTCATCTTGTGTAGATTTATGCTTGTAACTACGAGAAAATCTTCATGACTGAAAACATGCTAGAGCTTCCAATGAATAAAGACATTCAGGTAGTGGTTGGTGGCAGCTAAGAATATACAAATGAATTCGAAGTTCACGCTATTATATCAAATTCGAGAGCTTTCATCGCTATTGATTTGTCTGGTGACTGTCTCAGTCCATGTTCTTCATTTGGGTTCTTGCGAGAGCAGCCTTCCTTTCGCTTTTTTCAGTTGTAAGCGTACTACTGCAGTACAACGCTTGGTACAACGCATTCATAAGGCCTAGAGTTGCCTAGAGTGAACAGCACATTCGGCTTTACGGATGGACAGTTCGGCAAAACTACAGCCAGAACGAGTTCTTTCTTAGATTTAGCAGATTTTCTTTTCACGGACGCCCAGCATTACTTTGTAAAATTACTTTTCATTTTTCAATAACCTCTCGAACATATTTAGTGATCAGTCTGCTTTGAAAGTTCTACATGAGCTAATGCCGTAGGTTCACGTTTTATCTTCCGGATTCCTAGTGATCCTTCAATGATTTGCAAAATGAATAATGATGTGGTAGTGGGCATCTAAGTGCGGTTGAGCTTAAATTGAACACGTCGCAGCGAGCGATTGAAATGAAAATGATGGGTGTAACCTTCGAAGGCAAGAACAGAGTAAACTGTGCCAGGGAATAAATCAGTGTTAAGGATATCAAAGTTCAAATCAGGAAGAAGAATCGCACAAGGGCCGGGCACGTAGCACATAGGTAGTATAACAACTCGTCATTAAGGGTGACTGACTTGATTCCTAGAGAAGACAAACGCACGAAGGGGAGAAGAAAGCTAGGCGGGCCGATGAGAATAAAAATTTCGTAGGTATAATGTGGCGACAGAAAGCATAAGGCCAGATGATTGACGAATCACGGGAGAAGCCTTCGCCATGCAGCAAGCATAGTAAGGCTGATGATGGTGATGATCATGATCATGATAATGGTGATGATGATGATGATAATTATGGACACCTAGCAACTGAACTTGCCATAGAAATTCTGGAGTTTTTCGAAACTGCCGATGTTAGACGCATAGTAATTTGCTTCCCTACCGCATTGTTAAAGCATGCAAGAAGAGATGAAGGCAGGCTAGCCAATTGATAACGCAATGTGCTCGGCACCTGGTAATGCATTACTGTTCTTGTTTTGAATGCAAAGCTTGAGCGTCCTGCAATTTATTTGCCTTACATAGGTGCAAGAGTAATTAGCTGCTTCGCAAAATGATGGTCACTAGTGACACATTCAATTGTTTGCATGAACTTTCGCAGTAGGTGTGCTAACACATTTGCCATGGTGTAAAATGAGGCACCAACAGCGTTCACCCGAAGGATGCAAAGAATAAACGTCAGTGTCCCAGCGAAAATAAACAAAAACAGCATTCTGTGTGGCGAATCAAGTATTCGACCACAGACCCATACCGAATCTCTGAACTACTTTTAAAGAAATTCAATTTTTTGAAGCAGTAAATTTTTCCTTGCATGTCTTTATTATTAATAACTCTTCATCTTTAATGCCCCAAAATTATCACATGACTATGACAAACGCCAGTAATGAAGGGCTCCGCAAAGTTTCGACAACTCGGGTTACTATAACATGCACCTATATCTAAGCACAATGGTTAAAGAAATTTCAGCTCCATCAAAAATGTGGCCACCGCAATCATGTGTGGATCCCACGACCGGTGATTCAGCAGCCCAGTGCCTCAGCCACTAGATCACCATGGCATGTTGATTGAAGGGCTTGCTATTCAATAATATAAACACTGAATATCTATTCCCTGGTAGAATTACGGTTTTTCGTTAGTCCTTTGTGCTTGCATTGCAACCTCTTCAACATCCCAGATACAGCGGTGACGTCGGTTGAACGTCATTTCTAGTTAGGCGCTAGCCTCTAAAATGAACTGATATAGCAGTGTCCAGGCCACGAGCCTCGCCAACACCAATGCTTGAAATCTGCTTACCTCATCTGGTGTTGAAAATACTCATGCCGCTGTTGGCCCCGTTTCGTAATAGTAAAAAAAAAAAACTGGTTACATAGCGAAATATGCGGCTGTATTCGTATGTGTTTGCATGTATTTATACATATTTCTTGCGCCACGTTGTAAAGTTTTTACTCCATAAAAACTTAAAACAAATCCACAGTCCATCCGCACGCTCTGAATAAGAACATCGATTCTCAAAGTAGGTGGTATCTGCCAAATTTTCTCTTCCTTATTCTTTCTTTGATGTCTTTGGCAATCTCAAGGAACCCGAAACACCACTCTGTACCCTGTCGTATCACCGCAATATAAACCACAGACTCGCGCGTCCATTAACAGGCAGTATAACCTCTTTTATTTAGGCGACAGTGCGCTGAAACTCAAGCAGGCTGTGGTGCTCTTTACCTTTTGCTCAGTTTTCTTGTTTAAAGACAGCTTGTTCTTCCCGGCCAATCAAATTACAGGCTTGATTCACACGTTCCTAAAGAAGAGCGCAGGCCTCTCTTTCACCCGCGAACATGGCCACTGAAAAAAATAACAGTAAGAAGAAGGAACGATTATCACATTTGGCAGCTTGTACATAAAGAAGAACTTCTCAAATTTCGGGTAGTGCTGCACAATGACCGAACAAATGCAGTATTCAATAAAAATGATTCTATTGAAAGACACACTTTGTCCCCTAAGCATTAGAAAAGGGCGATTTTATGACAAATTGAAATTCTCTAAGCACTGCTGGCTATTTTACATCACGTAGGTAATGTAGAGCTAACATCAAAAATGCTCTGGCCGTGTTGCCATAGCAAAACCTATGAGTGCCGCCTGGGAGCGCCAGTAAGGTCGGCTCTGCAGCCACTCCGCATAAAGTGCATTTTCCTTAATAAAAGAGTTCAGCGGATTTTCACACTTTTCAAGACAACTCTCCTTCAAAACTATCGTTATCTATGTTGCTTCATTTCGCAGTGTCTGTTTATAAAGGACTTTCTAATGAAGTATCAATATCAAAAGCATTGATCAGTGCGTACCAATTCATCACAAGTACAATGGCATGCTTCTATCTATGTATTTATGAAATTTTTATTGATTTAT